CCTTGCATTCCAGTTTATTGTCCAAAAGCTTATCCTGTGTCCTTTGACTTCTGATTGCTTCCCTTTGCTTAGTCATGAGATTTCTGGGAAACTGATGTTTTTTTTTTTGTTTTTTTTTTTTTTAATTTGATTTATATGCCGCCCTTCTCCGGAGACTCAGGGCGGCTTACAGTGCGTTAAGCAATAGCCTTCATACTTTTGTATATTTATACAAAGTCAGCTTATTGCCCCCACAAACTGGGTCCTCATTTAACCTACCTTAGAAAGGATGGAAGGCTGAGTCAACCTTGAGCCTTGGAGAGATTCGAACCAGCAGTAAATTGCAGGCAGCTGTGTTAATAACAGGGTGCTTTAAACCACTGTAGTACCAAGGCTCTTTTATATCTTTTATGTTCTCTTTATATCAACATACCAGGCAGCTGCTTTTTTCCAAGGCTGTGCACACCTTTCTCCAAGTCGCCCATGTGCTTTTATGAATCATGCACAGCTTTCAAGGAAGGTTTCAGAAGGCTCCTAAGCTTTGTGAGAGGCCATGTGTGATTTGGAGAAGGCTTCACATGGCCTCGGCTGCCTCACATAAGGCCACAGAGAGCTCACCTCATCAGCTGCAGGAGGAAAAAACAGCCAAAGACTTTTGGGTCCAGCAGCATTGGTAGAGTGCAAGGCAGAGGGGTGGCTATGGCTGTGTGCTGTGGTGCGATGGGGTGGCTGGCCATGGCGCAAGGAATGAGGTAGCCCTTCGCAGTGATGGTGGTGCTGGCAGTGCTGGGTAAGGTAGAAGCCCCAAGGTGATTGAGAATGGTGAAGGCGCTATTTCAGCCTAGCATTACTGCCACTGCTGCTGAGCAGGGCAGCCAAAAGCCTAGAGATGGAGGGGGAGGTTGGTTTTAAGTGCGGGCGGGTTGCTAATCACCCAAATTGTGATCATATGACCATGGGGGCACTGCAATAGCCATAAATATGGGGACTAGGCCACTGGTGAAATTATTTTACTACCGGTTCTGTGGGCATGGCTTGGTGGGTGTGGTATGGCTTGGTGGGCGTGGCAGGGGAAGGATGCTGCAAAATCTCCATTCCCAGCCCACTCCAGGGGAAGGATACTGCAAAATCCCCATTTCCTCTCCACTCCTGGAGGAAGGATATTGCAAAATCTCCATTCCATCCCACTCCAGGGGAAGGATATTGCAAAATCTCCATTCCCACCCCACTCCAGGGGAAGGATACTGCAAAATCTCCATTCCCACCCCACTCCAGGGAAAGGATATTACAAAATCTCTGTTCCCACCCCACTCGGGGGTCAGCCAGAGGTGGTATTTGCCAGTTCTCCGAACTAGTCAAAATTTCCACTATCGGTTCTCCAAACTGCTCAAAAATTTTTGCTACCAGTTCTCCAGAACCCATCAGAACCTGCTGGATTTCACCCCTGGACCAGGCATAAGTGCCATCTGATCAGCACTGCCATAACTTCAGTCTCTGAAGAAAAGTTCTTTAACTGAGGTCTATCTGCAAATGAATCTCTGAAGGACTCCCTCTGTTCAATGCTCCCTTTACAAGCACACAATTTCAGAGTGCAGTGGCTGGATGTTGTGTGATACAGAGAAATCTGAACTACTGAAATAAACCATTTCAGAATTGTGAGCATTTGTGTACACATGCATGTAACAGCCTTAAATTCAACTTTGCTAAAGAGCTAGCTGTCAAGCAATATATTCTGGAAATCTAATATAATTATTACCTTAATTTTCCTTGTCTCTTGGTTTGAATTACACTTTCCTTTAAAATGAAAACCACTTAGGAGAGGCTAAATCATTTTCTGCTGTTATTTTGTTATAACTGCTTTTACAGATCTTCCTGTTGTCTTTCTCTTTTTACCCCTCTCTGGGGCATTTGCTGTAAATTAGTCATGTGTATCATTGTCAATAGATGCAGTGTGAAAATAACATCGACTCTATTACCTTCTTTCTATGATTATTTAGAAAATGGATTGTTTATTCTCCCTGCTAATGTGAGTATGTGCCAGCCTGCCGAATGCTTAGAACTAGTGTGAATCTTACTTCAAACTGACAATGTTACCATGGAGTCCTACTCAGTGTGCTTGAATCAGGATGCAAGTGATCTCTAGATAACCACTGCATTATGTATAGGGTGAGATGGATAAACAGATTTTTTAGCCTGCCTATGTTTTCCCCATTCTTGTACCAATTATAACACACAAATGGGCGGGCATTTCGGTTAAAAAAATAATATCCCATATTTGCATTCAGAGCTATGAACTGTCAGTAAGTATTTTCATACAACTCACTTAAAACTGACCGTAATGGGTTTCTGAGTTTTGTAAATTAATAGCACAATTCAATATATGCTTGTTTGGGGGGCGGAGGGGGACTTACTGTATTCAGTTGTTCTATTGCTTTGTAGTGCAAACTAAACATTGTTTCTAGGGACAAAAAAACCTGTTTTGGAGAGGTGGCTTGGCTCAGTTATGCTCATCATTAAATAATAGTTTGCATAATTCCTAATTGCTTAATTCTGTTCATTTTTTTTTTCTTCATGTTTACATGTTGTCCTTCAAGCTTTCCCTAAATGATTTATTTTCTGCCTTCAGCATTGGAATTTCAGTGGTTCTTCCCAACCGTGGGCTTAGCATGATTTATTCGGGCCAATAAGCTAAAACCATAAACAGCCGTTTGGCCTGATGGTAACTGCTTTCACATCAAGCTCTTTAGCATGTTTGCAGAGCTTTTCTTCCTCGCTAAGGTTTTGCTTTGCAAAATGCCTTTTTCTACCCACATCCTTACCCAGGATTAAGTTTTCTTCACTCAACTTCACAGCAACCAGATTTTGTTGAGATGGTGGTCGTATAAAAAAAACCCTACAAGGGCATTTAACCAGAACTATTCGTGAAATACATTAAAGATTAACTGGTGTTCTTATTGAGCTATTCCAATAACTTGACAGATAAATCTGCATACAGTATCTGTTCTACTAGTTCACTGGTTATATTGTTACCAGTGTTTCCTTGAAAATAAGACCGGATCCTATATTAATTTTTGCTCCAAAAGATGCATTAGGACTTATTTTCCAGTTAGGTCTTATTTCGGGGAAAATATGGTACTAAATGTGTCTGGCTGGCTGACGATCTTAACTGGGGCTTATTTTTGGATAGGGCTTATACTACGAGCATCCTGAAAAACCATGCTAGGGGTTATTTTCCAATTGGCTCTTATTTTCAGGGAAATACACACTGTTTGAAAAGAATAAAAGGGAAGGGGATCTTTGTTGAATGAGGCAACCCAGGTGGATGAATAGTCTCTGAATGAATGGGAGCTAAGGTTGAATTCAAACAGGATAAATACATCTTGATTCTTACCAAATATGCAAAAAGCTATATAAACGAGAAAATGTTGGCAAAATATTTTTAGGAGAGTTTAATGCTCATTTGCATCATCAAAGTGACTTGTTTTGAGCCACGGTGGCGCAGTGGTTGGAATGCAGTACTGCAGGCTACTTCTGCTGACTGCCGGCTGCCTGCAGTTTGGCCGTTCAAATCTCACCAAGCTCAAGGTTGACTCAGCCTTTCATCCTTCTGAGGTTGGTAAAATGAGGACCCAGATTGTTGGGGGCAATAGGCTGACTCTGTAAACCACTTAGAGAGGACTGTGAAGCACTGTGAAGCGGTATATAAGTCTAAGTGCTAAGTGCTGTTTTTTTTAATTGGAATATATATCATAAATGTACTGAAAGGCTTGTGTAAAGTACAGGTAGTGTCCTTGACTTATGACCACAATTGAGCCCAAAATTTCTGTTGTTAAGTGAGACATTTATTAAGTGAGTTTTGCCCCATTTTATGATGTTCCTTGCCTCATTTGTTAAATGAATCACTGCAGTGAATAAGTTGATTACACAGTTGTTAAGTGAGTCTGGTTTCCCCATTGACTTTGCTTGTTAGAAGGTCACAAAAGGGGATCACATGACCTTGGGGTGCAGCAACGGTCATAAGTATGAGTCAGTTGCCAAGTGCCTGAATTTTAATCCCATGGTCATGGGGATACTGCAAAGGTTGTATCTGTGAAAAACAGTCATAACTCACTTTTTCAGTGCCGTTGTAACCTTGAACAGTCGCTAAATGAACTGTTGTATTCTGCTCAATAAGGAAGCTTTGTACACTGAGGGCACACTACAAGTAATAAATAACTTAGAGAAAAATCTCCTTAAGCTATTCAGACTATTTGCATGTTCTTTCCTTATATGTCAAATAAAATATCATTCAGCTACTCTGAATGGTCAATGTGAAGGTAAATGAAGTGAGGTGCAATTGTATTTTGCTCTCTAAAGGTGCTAATCAGAAGTAATAGTAATGATTATTTTTCACATTGAAAAATAATCAAAAATGACTTGTACGATACCAGATTTCTGCTTTTCTACTTTGTCCAAAAGGAAGCTGCAGGCTGCTAATATGTCAAACTATTTAATGGGGCTTCTGTGCAATGGATATAAGAGTTGTTACAGCTTCATTAGGTTCTAGAAATTATACATCCTCAAGCAGTTTATAATATTTTCTTCCTAATTCTGTCATTTTTAATCAGTTCAGAATCTGGTTTGAAGATATAGCTCTACTATCTCCTTCCATGTGAATCTCATGTCATGGAATAACAGAATGAAGAGTCCCTACTAAGATTCTGAATCTAGCTGACAAGTGAGAGAATAAAAATCACAGTGTTGCACTCACAGTCTATTAGTCATGCCTAAACTTGTCATCTTTCTGGTTTTTATGCATACAAGGAAATAATTCTATGTATTCAATGAGCCGACCTCTGAGTCCACCAACGTAGGATTGCAGTTTTTGTTCTTTTTTAATTTGAAATATGTTTCTATAAAACTCTTCTTTTCACAGTCAGAATTCTGAAATACATGTGCTCTTCTTAATCGATCCATAATAAAATACTTTTGACTACTAAAACAAGAATTCTGCTTGATTTTTCTTTTCTTTTTCTCAATAGTGGCCAGCATTCAGAAGCTTCCTGCAGCATCTGTTCTAACAGACATCAATTTCCCCATGAGAGGAAGGAAAGGAATGGTTGACTGGGCCCGAAACTCAGAAGATAGGGTTGTCATTCCCAAAAGTATCTTCACCCCCATGTCAACAGGTAAAAACTCAGCAGCGCTTTAATTTTCTGTTTCATGAAAGCTCCGTGAAGAAAGCTAACTTGCTAACTCATGCATTTGTGGGCTTGTTTCATCAGTATTTTGGATCAGCTATTTGAAGATTAGCATTACAGTCGAATTTTAGACTTGTTCTTTCTGTATAAATGTCTAGTGCAAAAGATGGTTATTGAGTATTAATGATTAGCATTTACAATAAAACCTCTATTGTTATAACATGGCAGTTCTCCATAAAGCAAGGAAAATATATAGCGGAAAGAATGTCAAGCTTATTTTTCGTATAATTCGAAGTTCTTGAGTCTGTGAACATGAAAGCTAATTCCTGGATTTCTCTTTTGGGCTTCTCATTAGTTCATAGCTGGTGGTGCCTCCCTATAATAATGCACCTTGAACCTGTTTCTATTTCTATGGGAACCCAGTTGAAGCTGGAAATAATATGGCAACAGCAAAGAATCAGTAGAAAAATCTAAGGGAAAGAGTCACTATCGGAGTGGGTGGTCATAATAAATTTAAAATAATAATCATAATAATGGAGACCAGCTGAAAACCATTTGCCTGCTTCAGAGTGCACCCAAATGGCTATTGTAATCTTTGTGTCCCTTTACACATTATAGGAATAGCCATTTCAGTTCCTTATGTGAAAAGGGGACTGACATAGTACACATTTATCTGGTTCTTCCTCTTCCCTGCTTCCCTATCTGTGTGTGACTGATCATGTTCATTATCTATAACTCTCATCTATGGGAAAGGAAGTGATGGGCTTCTCACTACCAAGTTAGTATCCTGTTACAAAACAAGCAAACATAAGTACTCAGTTGTGCTTGAATGTGGAGTGGAGAAGGAAGAGAGTTCTCATAATTATGAGATAATTACATTTCCGTATGGGAATGGCCAAATATAGGCTTATATAGGACATTATTAGCTAAAATTGACCATGGTTCACTATAAGTTCTTTGTGGCAAATTGGTTTATTTAACTTTTGGAGGTGGTGGCATTATTTAAAGACCAGTGACCATTCCAGTAACTTTTCTGAGGCCAATGAAATAATTGGATTATTAGATTAGGCTATTAATTATAATAATTAAGATTATAACACAAAATATCAGTTTAGCAGCAAGTGATGAATTTCACAAATAATAAGATTTCAGAATACTCCTACTCCAAAATTTTCTATAATGATAAAATGCTGTTGTACTTTAAAATACTGTTGTACTTTATCAGTTATGACAAAGTTGGAGATGCTTGGAAAGGTATCAAATTTAATCTACATATTGACTTCTTTCTTCCTTTTATTTTTAGAACTAGATGAATCCACCGTGTTTGTACTTGGAGCAGTATTGTACAAAAATTTAGAGCTTATTTTGCCTACCTTAAGGTAAGTAATGACTCTGAGAGACAGTTCCAATGGAGTGTGTCTCTAAGATGTGTTCTATAGCAGGCAGGAACATAAGACTTAATTTCTTATTTTTGTCTAAAGAAGGAACAACTAACCTGATTTGGGTTCTACATCGAGTGTGTCATTTGCTTTTCTTAATTTTGCCATTAACCTTCAATAGCAGAACTGAAGAAAAAAATCTCAAGTTTAGTTTGGCAACATCATTCCTAGGTCTAGCAACAGGGTGGGCAGAAGAAACATAGAGAGGCAATAGCATTTGATATCTAGAACAGAATCAGGCAATTTGGTATTTTTTGTATGTCTTTAATTTCTGCAATCCCTTATCATTAGCCAGACTTGCAAGGATTTTTGGTATTTGATGTCCAAATCACTTGGATGTCACAAGATTGTTTGCTGATCTATCTGGAGGAGTCAGCCAGACATAAAACAGCAATGGGAGGAGGCAAAAATTTGTAATAGGAAGAGGAGATATTCCTCATGGGTGAACCAAATGACTTTCTTTAGCTCAATACAAGTAATGGGGAAAGAGACAAAGGTGATCAGGGCTTTATCTAATGAAAAGAGGAAAGGTTAAGAATTAGGAGGAAAGAGAGAATGTGTCTCTATGTAGGACAGAGAGAGAAAGGAAGAACTGTAGAACTTTCAATCTGTCAGCTGGAATTAAAGCATAAGTGTTAAGGCATATTGTCCTAAGTGTAGATGGGTGTAAGTATTTATAAATGCAAACGTGCTTTTATCTGTGTAAAATAAGTGCTTCAATAATGACTAGATAATAATCTAAAGACAAAAATAAAAAGACAGACAATACCATTGTTAGATAAGATATAGATATATCTCAATTCCACACATTTATTTAATACAAAAGCTACTGGATGTCCTAAGCATATGTGGGGGGGGGGAATCTACTCTCAGTGAGTAATAGAAGTCCCTCTTCCTTGGTACATTATCATGTAATTAGGCACAATAAGTTATGTCAAGATTTAGGCACAGCTGAATAAGTATAACTGAAAAATTCAGCCTTTTACCTTGATGGAGAAAAATTGCAACCATTGGCTATTAGACATTCATCAAAAAAATGTTCCATAGAAATCAAAAGGAGATTTGTTCAGAGACTGACAGGGCAGTTTTTGCTTAGTCTGTATTACAGTGCTTCAACTGTCAATCACAAACATAAATGAAATCAGAGAAGAATGAAAAACAAGGCGATATCCAGGAAGCCCCTATACAAAGCGAGAAGTAAGAGAGGGTACTTAATAGCAGCTTTGTATCTTCTCTTTCTCCTTCCTCTGATGAAGTCTTCACATCAACAGCTTTGTATGGGACAAGATACCACATATGCAGAGTGAGAAAAACACTAGTGGGGAAAATTGGTAGACAGGAGAAGAATGTTTCACTCTTTCCCAGCTGTCAAAAGTCTCTTAGGACCATGAAACAATGGTTTTTTTTTATTTATTTAAGTTTATTTATTTGTCAAACATATATAAGATAACAGATAAAAGTATAAATATGATTATGAATACATGAAATGGATACGAATAAAAAGAGACATTAGGACACGGACAGAAGGCATGCCGGTACGCTTATGCACGCTCCTTACAGACCTCTTAGGAATGGGGTGAGGTCAACAGTAGACAGTCTAAGGTTAAAGTTTTGGGGGTTTGGCTGCCTTGGGGGACACCACTGTTAACAGGTACAGGATTTGATAGAGCACTTCCTATTTTGACTATGTTCCATCCACAAGATGCAAATGTAATAAAATAAAATGTAAAAAAAATAATTATTATTTAAAACCTAAAGTTTACTCCATGATTCCAGGAGCATTTGAACATTTTGTATAAATGAGAGTATTTTCTCAGATTCACTCTCTAGATCTTACAAGCCGAAGTTGGCTTGATGTATGCTTTGCCTTCCAAATAAGACCTTGTTAAATGTTCATTTAATTAATAATAATTAGATATCAGGTACATAACAAGATTTTAGTTAATTAGTTATATCTGTTACATTTTCAGAACCATATACCAAATAAATTTTGTCAAAAGGCTGTCTCTTTTTGTCTATCAAAATATATTTGGTTCTGAAAAATTAACTTTTTTAATATATTAGTTTTGATAAAGATAAAAGCAGTTCTTCGTCCCACTGTGTTTATCGCTTAATTCTTTTATGCAGAGAAAGTCAGATGTTCATAACACTTATTCTCAGTTTGTAGGATTTTCAGTATAATTGTGTGACTAATAACATACTTTGAGAAGCCAATGGCAGCTTGATCAAATTGCAATACCATGACAACAGTTTCCCTCTGGAAAACCTTTTCTACACATACAATTGTTGGCAGCGTAGGATCAGGTACCACCTCTCTTCATTACACGTGCATTTAATACACTGATTTTAGTGCCACAAAGAAAGATGAGGTGTACCCTCATCAAACAGGGAAAGATATTATACTGTGCTAATGTAGAAACTAGACGCTTAAAGAAAGATATTTTTCCATTGCTTTCCTGTGCATGTTAAGAACTTTGGCTGGTGTTGTTCTGTAAATACCATCCATCTCTAAGGTGAAGCTGGTTACAGCAAGAAGAAAAGGTTTTGTTTTAGAAGTTGCAACCTATCTAGATAATCAGATTTGTCTGATTGTCATCTTGTGGGGTCCTTGGTGCTCTCTGAGCTTGATTGTTATATTGCAGATGATGTTACCTACTTTGATAACAAAACAAAAAAAACAGCCAACCTCAGAGAGCACCAAGGACCTCTCAATTCAACCCTGAAATATAAATATGCTCTTCTATTGTTGTCATTATTATTGTCATATTAGTGTCAGTGATGGTTACTCCCGGTTCTGTCCGGTTCTTGAGAACCGGTTGTAAAAGTGGAGGGAGGCTCCGCCTACCCGCACGGACGTCATAAGGTATGATCTACGCATGTGCAGAAACTTCTGCGCATGTGCAGAAGCACACACGCGCAAGCAACGTGAGCACGTGTGCACGCTCCCGTTGCAAACTGGTAGTAAAGGTAAGTAGAATCCATCCCTGATTAGTGTCATACAAAAACATTCTTACCTGGATGTCTTTCTATTTTTTTTAATAAATATATTCATCTTCTGATCATACATTTTGATCTGTCTTCATTTGTATTCCAACAATGTTTATTTTTTTTTAAATGTGGGTTTTGTTTTAATAAACACCTGATAAATGAATTGCATTTTTTAGTATTTCAAGAAAAAAAAATAAACATCACACAGCATATGTCTTAATGTATTCCTTACCTAAATATAACCTATGCCCTTCATTTCCCTTTAGATAAAGACACACTGAGTTTAATTATTTTCCTGCATAAATAATCACAATATTCTTCCTTCTTAAAAAGTGTCTTGTTTGGGCAGCAAAGAGTCCTTCATCACACCTCTGTGTGATTTTGTCAATAAGACTAATTTATCAGAGTGTGGCATAGCATAAATGTTGTTACCAACACATTATTGCTCTCCTAGATTTTGTTTTCTCAGACATTTCTGAGACATTTCACAAACCCAATAAATGGAGGCTAATTAAACAAAATCTCTTCCAGAAAAAAAAAACCAACAAAATTTGTTTAAAAGCAGACAATACTAATTTTTATATATTAAAATTATATCTGAATGGATATTAAATCCAAAGAGATTGTGATTATTTAGTTATAAGACTTGATATAATACATCAATGCACAATTTGTTCATTTACTGAATTGGAACAAATGTGATATTTAACTTTAACTTTAATTGGACAGTTTTACATCTTGCACGATGCACAATAAGAAATCTGTATGCACAGGATTTCAATATGCTGTTGGGTATTTATTGTGTGCCTCTGAGGTACATTGTAAGATAATTTCCACACTGTAGAAAAAGATACAGGTTTAATACTTCATAAAAATAAAAATAAAAAACCAGCAGATGGCAGCACCTAGCCGACCTTAGGTCATCTAAAAAAAAAAAACAACTAGGCAAGATTGGACCTTGATTAATACTTAGAAGGCTATAGAAACACTTCAGTAGGTGAATTTCATTTCACAGTGGGGTTCTCAGATGCTGTTAAGTTTAGCAATGGAAACACAAACCTTCCGTGAGGCAAAATGTCCGTTCTTAATTATCCAAGCTCCACATTTAAGTTGAAATATATACCCCCCCCCCAAAAAAAGTTCATCTTGCTTTTTCTCATGAAAACACTGCATTAACTGACAACTGGTAGCTTTCTGGAAGCTCAGGAACCTGAACTGCATTTTGCCAGCTGAAAAGAAATTGCCCACTTCAGCTGTACAATGACAGCTATTAAAAAGAATGTTGCTTCTAAAGATTGTATTGTGATATGAAAATTACCCATTGGCTTTATCATAATGTAGTTCAATTTCATAAGATGCACACTGATAATTTATTGAATAGCCTAGCTGCAACAGAGAAGAAAACATCAATCCTTCAGTTAGGAATTTGGCAGAGGAGGTGAGGTATTTATAAAAGACATCCTGAATTTTTTTACTCCAGTCCTCATGCTCAGTACATTCATTTTTAATCCATATTGGAATCATATGCCTTGATTCTGGTTTTAGAAATGTATTTATTTAATCAATGTATTTATTTAATCAATTTAATCAATCAAATGGGAAGCCATTTATATGGCTTCCCATCTTGCAAAGGTGACTTTTGGTGGCTAACAACTCATTAAAAGAATAAAAAGAAAACAGTGGAATAAAAATGCCAATAATGGTCACTAAGAATAGAGAGAAACCTCTCAACATACCCCCATTTAGGAATATCGAAGAATGGACACTTAAATATTGCCTCCTTTGTACTGAAGTCTCATTTTTCTTCCCTCTTTTATGGCAAAGGTGCCCTTTAGTAATGCCTATCTCCAGTGGTGGGTTCCTCCCGGTTCGGTCCGGCCGAGCCGGTAGTGGTGACGATATGACATCACCGAACCGGTTCTTCCCCCCCGCCCTCCCACCCACCCACCCACCCACCCACATTATTCTTACCTTTTATTTGGTCCCACCCCCAATCTATTGCTGCCTCCTGAGTCCCAGCTGATGACTAAAGGAAAAAAAACTGTTTAAACTCTTGCTGCGGGGCTTCAAAGGGCCGTCCTACAGCTGATCAGTGTTAAAAGCAAACAAATGAGTCGGGTCGTAAGTGCAAGGACTGGTCGTAAGTGCGAGGACTTCCAGAAATGACTCTGACCAGCTAGCCACGCCCACCTAGTCACATGACCTCCAAGCCACACCCACAAAATAAGCCACGCCCACAGAACTGGTAGTAAAAAAATTTAGAACCCACCCCTGCCTATCTCTAAGCATCCAAGCAAAGTAATATAATGGCCAGAGAGCAAACTAACTCAGATGACCTAATTCATCAAGACTATTCACCTTTAAAACTCCTTTAAAAGTGAAGGGCTTGGCAACTAACACCTAGGTCCAAAGCAGCAATGGGTTTCACTTATCTTCGCTACCAGCTCGGAACTGTGAGCGCGAGTGTGTGTGCATTTACTTGGCTTGCGTGTGGGGCTTCTGCACATGCGCAGAACCTTCTGCACATGCGCAGAGCGTCCGTGATGACGTCCGGGCAGGTGGGCGGAGCCTCTCCCCACTACCAGTTTGCCCGAACTGGGGTGAACCAGTAGAAACCCACCACTGATCCAAAGCCAAAATCTCATATGTCTCCTAATGAGTCTGATGACCATTAGGTCAAGTCCTGACCTTACAACTTAGGAATCTTAGACAGTAATACTGAAATCACAAGTGTAGTGTGAATTCATTACTATTTTTTTTTAATACCGAAGTAGGTCATAAATGGCACAAAATTACATCTCAATCCCTCATGTTATTGATGAGAAAAACAGAGTTGATTTTGAGGAAACTCTCATTGCTGTCATTCTTATGATTTTTCAATAGATCTTCAGCAAAATGGCCATATCAGAGCTTTACAAAAAATGTGCTTTGTCTAGAACAAAACTCAGGTTTACCAGAAGATTAATGAGTTTATAGGCCTGTGAATATTTATGTTGTGAATCTATTTTTTTTAATCAATAAATTGTGCTTAGTAAAAGGCACTTGGATCAGCAGGAAGAGTGTCGTTATTCCTGAATACATTTGACAGCATTTTTATAAATTCTGTTGAGGAAAATTGATTTAAATTCCCTTCTAGCTAGCCATGTTTAAAAACCACAGCTTCTCTTTGCTTAATTACATCAAGTTGTAGTTTTAGTGATTGTTGTGTTTTTAATTGTTCTTTTTCCAGAAATTATACAGTTATTAACTCCAAAATCATTGTGGTCACCATACGGCCTGAGCCCAGAACATCAGATTCCTTTCTAGAGATAGAGTTAGCTCACCTGGCAAACGTAAGTATTTCAGTTTATTTTCCAATTGGCTGAAGATTTTAAACAAATAACATAAAGAATTATTTTAACCCCGGTCAATTTTAGCTCACATGTTTTATTTTTTTCCCCACTGATTTTGTAGTTTGTGGGTACTTTTTTGTAATTAGAAGCAATGTGTATACAGTATGAACAGAAAGGACTCACTAAAATGATAAATTCAACTTATTTTAGATGCAAAAGCATGATGATTTCCATAGCACGGAATGCCTAAGTAGTTCCCATGCATTGTTAAACTGCTCTTTATAAACTCTAGGAAATCTCCAATATGGTGTATTTATTTAATTTTTATTTCATTTACTAAAATCTTTAAACTACCCAATGCCCGAAGCCCTGTGGTATAGAGTTAAACATACTACAGGTAGAGTTAAATATACTACAGTCTTTTATTAAGTTTATTAAGTGACTGTTCAAAGTTACAACAGCACTGAAAAAAGTAATTTATGACCATTTTTCACACTAATGACCGTTGCAGTATCCCTCTGGTCACATGATCAAAATTCAGATGATTGGCAACTGACTCCTTTTTATGATGGTTATAGTGTCCCGGGATCACCTTTTGAGACCTTCTAACAAGCAAAGTCAATGGGGAACCAGATTCATTTAACAACCATGTTACTAACTTATTAACTTATTAAGAGCCTGGTGGCGTAGTGGACTAAACTACTGTTAAAGTAGTATTTAGCTGCCAGCTGCCTGCAATTACTGCGAGTTCAATTCTCACCAGGCTCAAGGTTGACTCAGCCTTCTATCCTTCCGAGGTAGGTAAAATGAGGACCCGGTTTGTGGGGGCAATAAGCTGACTTTGTATAAAATAGAACACTGCTTAGGGGGGCCCAAAAAGCCCTACTAAGCAGGTATATACAAAAGTATGAAGGCTATTGCTTAAAAGCATTGTAAGCCACCCTGAGTCTCTGGAGAAGGGTGGCATATAAATCAAACTAATAAATAAATAAATAAATAAATAAATAAATAAATAAATAAATAAAATGCAATTCACTTAACAACTGTGGCAAGAAAGATCGTAAAATGGGGCAAGATACACTTAACAAATGTTTCGCTTAGCAACACAAATTTTGGTCTCAATTGAGGTTGTAAGTTGAGGACTACCTGTACTTCAACAAGAGCCAGCAGATGTTTAGATTGGATTTGGCACTTTTTATCTACTTATCAAGTTCTTCCCAAACACCTGGGATAGGCAAATGTTGTTATTTGATAGCATAAAAGGTTGTGTCATTGGATGTAAACTATTCCAAGTAAAGCTGCCTTTTGCAATTGACTGATGGTGATTTTATCAATGCCATTTAATATTCAGGTGGGGCTCCAGATATTTTGTGATTGCACCATGGCACCTATTAGTATTAATACTATCTTTTCTTTCTTTTGCCACAGTCATTCTGCTTGTATTTTCATGTCTTTGTATTTTGTAATTTTCTCCAGTTCTTTCTCTTCTGCTGCCTCCAGGTACTGCCACATTCACTATACAGACTTTTCGTCTTTCTTATTGACAGTTGTTAAGTCTGGGATGTTATATGCCAGGTGCTTTAGGGTTTTTTAGAGTTGATTAATTGGAATGGGTGGAATTTCAATACATGGCCAACTGCCCCACTGAAATAAATGGTTCATAAAATTAACTTTTCATTGGGCCGTATCCTAAAATATGAGCAGATCAATATAAAGAGTGAAAAAATGTAGATCTTGCCTTGGAAAAGGACCGGTGAAGGAGAAAAGACTATTCAGTTCTGAGAAAAGTGGGTGTCATGAAAAAGAAACTCAAAATAAGCCTATCTTAATTATATCAGAAATTCTGACAGGCCTTCAAGATTCTGTTATTCTCTCTTACAACACTAAAGAAAATTTTGGAATTTTTGCTGTTTTTTTGTCTCTTAAGATTGCATAATGCATAACTTGAAGGGCCAAAATAGTCATTTGAAAAATCAATAAATAGGAGTGGAGGCTGTAATTACAGGTAGTTGTCAACTTACAATTTTTTTAGTGACCATTCAAAGTTATAATGGCACTGAGAAAAAGTGACTTACAGCAATAGCACTTAGATTTATATACCGCTCGGTAGTGCTTTACATCACTCTCTGAGTGGTTTACAGAGTCAGCATGTTGCTCCCCCAAAATCTGGGTTCTCATTTTACCTACCTTGTGAGGATGGAAGGCTGAGTCAACCATGAGTCAGTCAAGATCGAACTTCAAGATATAGGTAGAGTTTGTTTGCAATACTGCATTCTGACCACTGCGCCACCCTGGCTCCTAATGACTTATGACTATTTTTCACACTTATGGCCATTGCAGCATTCCCATGGTCACATGATCAAAAGTCGGCTGCTTGGTAATTAACTCATATTTATGATAGCTGCAGTGTCCCGGGTCATGTGATCACCCATTGCAGCTTTCTGACAAGCAAAGTCGCTGGGGAAGCCAGATTTACAGTACTTAACAACTGTGTTACTAATTTAACAACCGCAGTGATTTACTTAATCATTTACAACTGTGGCAAAAAAAAAAAAAGGTTGTAAACTGGGACGAAACTTTCTTTAACAACTGTCTAGCTTAGCCACAGAAATGTTGGACTCAATTGTGATTATAAGCCAAGGACTACATGTGTTTTGGTCCTCAAACTGGAATACAATAAGCAATTCAAATATTGTCACTAAAGTAATATATATCATTACTGGGACCAATAACAATTTATAGAACAATGGCACAGTATTACCAAGGCCAGGGGAGAGTTAAATGAACTTGACCATGACCTCTAATAGGCCTTTTCTCTTTTTCCCCCTTTTATTGCATTTTTCAGAAATATAGTGACAAAGCGTATAGCTTTTTGTCACACCTTGAAAATGTTTGTCAGTTTCATTCTGGCAGCACAAGATGAAAGGCATTAATTGACGCTTGACTTGGTCCACTTTTCTACAATATTAATAACTATCATGTTAGCCGAAGGACTGGAAGTGCTGACAAGACAGAACGCCAGTAGCAACCTTATCAATAATATCTTAGAGGAAGTGTTGTTTTCTTTTGGCTGGTTTTAGATCTGGTAACCTGAGATTTGAAATATGAAAGGGAAGAGAGTTTATTTAGGCAAAGAACTCGAGAAGCACTCCAAAGATCCACCAATATAAAAAGGAAAGTATATTGAGGATAGTGCTAGCATTCCATTAAAAACAGACTGTGTAGTTGTTTGGATTTAGATCTTACATGTTTATGTAAAAGGGTTTAATACAGCGGTGTCAAACTCACATTGTCACGGCGGCATCATGTGAAGTATTAGACTTTTTTCCCCTTCGCTAAACCGGGCGTGGCCGTGACCAGCACGAGATGCATCTGGCCCAGGAGTTTAACAGCCCTGATTTAATAGAATTGTTAAAATGAGACTGTTTAAAATATGTCTCTCTCTCTCTCTCTCTGTGTGTGTGTACATATGTGTGTGTGTGTATGTATGTATGTATTTATTTATGTATTTATGTATGTATGTGTATACACTCACACATTGGCAGTGCTACTTTCAATGTATATATCGAAAGTAGCACTGCCAATTAATCAGTATCTTTTTTTTCAATGTGCTAATTTAATGGTTTCTTTTTTTATTTTTCCTCTACAATAATTCACCTAAATTTAAGACAAGATAGTAATTGTTGTAATTAAAACGGCTTTATCTTTGAACCCTGCAGTTAATTTTAATCAGGTGAAGACAATTTTGCTTCAGCTGCAGACCTTGAATGTTGTACACTAATGGCTCACAGAAAGCACAGAAGTTAATGTTACCAATTTAATCATTTAATTATTTAATTAATTCTCCAACCAAAGAAGTAAAATCCTGAACTTTTATTCAAATATTCTTTTCTCATATTGTGCTAATAACTGGACTCCATCCCACATGTGATTTAAATATGTTATATGTGATTTAATGTGATGGTTATGATGAGATAAATATCAGGGCCTTAAGATATTTTAAAAGTCATTGTTTTAGCGATTGTTTAAGTGGAAAAAGCAAAGACCTGAGGCAACGGATACCTGTGTGCAAAGTTGTGTATCCAGGGGTGGGCTGCTGGGGGTTCGCAGTGGTTTGGGAGAACCTCTAGCTAAGATTCTGTGCAGTTCGGAGAACCCCCAAATCCCAATTCTGGCTGCCCCCACCCATCCTGCCCCACTCCTCCCAGGAGTCCCCACGCATCCTGTTTTGGATGCAGGTAAGTGCAGGGCATGCGCGGAGGTTCGGGGAGGGCAAAAAACAGCCTACCAGAAGTTGGGAAGGCCAGAAACGGGCCCGTTTCCAGTCTCCAGAGGGCCTCCGGATTCCAGGGAGGGCAAAAACACCCCCCCCGCCATGGTGCAGGAGGCCGACTAGGCCATGCCCACCATGGCTACGCCCACCCAGCAACCGGGCAGGAAAACCCCTTGCTAAAATTTTTGAAGCTCACCCCTGTGCATGTCCTAGTGTCCTAGTGTGAATGTCAAACCAGTGGGCGTTCTTTGAAAAACACCTACCTTTCAGGATGGTTCAACAATTTTGACACACCTATTCCTCCAAAAAGAAGAAACCAAAGTGAAGAATGTTAACTGTTTTAGAAAATTTTATAGTTCACTGGTGATTGATTTTTGCACTTATTAATAGGATGCTCATGACAATTTCTAGTTTGACCAAAGTTGGACTTGAAATCAGAATTAAAAGTTAAACATGCTGCAATATAATTTCATATTTCTAGCAACAGCTCACAGAACAATGCTTCAAACTATCAGCCAGATTTTTAAAAAAATATGCATTGTTTTTATTTCAGAAAAAAATCAACTTTTCATATTTTCTCTGAACATCCAATATCATTTTTGGAGGGCCCAAGAATGGCCCCTGTAACACCACAGCTCCATGAGCTGCATTGGTTACCAGTATGCTTCTGGCTAAAATTCAAGGTGTTGGTGATCATCTTTTAAGCCCTTCATGGCATGGGTCCAAGTTATTGAGGGCCCATCTCAACCCTCAAGTGGGATTGGCCTGTACCACTCATTCTGGCAGAGGAGGCATTCTGCGGTCCCGTTAGCCTGCTTATTATGGCTGGTGGGATGAGGAGGGCCTTCTCTGGTGTTGCTCTTGCCCTCTGGAACATCTCAAACCTCCCACCCTCCGATGTGAGGTTGGCTCCAACCCTCCTGTTTTCATAAGGACCTAAAAACCTGGCTCTGGGAAACAGCACAATGGAGGTGATTGACTGAATAATAATATAGTATTTTAACTATATACATTCTTTAAAATGGACAATATGTAATTGGATCTTCCTGGATCCAACTCAGCAAGGAAATTATTTCTTTTTCCAGTTTAGGTTTTTAAAGAACAATCTTATCTCCATAGTGCAGGCTAATATTTAAAGTTCTCAGTGTGAAAGAAGGGAAAATTATACTACACTGTCAGATTTAGTTAGGCACATTTCTAGTTTAGACCCCTAATTGTCTTACTCTCTGTTTATCTATTGTCAGAATGACCTGCTTGGGTTCATATCTTGCTTTCGTATAAGCTAATGAAAAATTTGTTTAAAATGTTAGTCTGGTTGTTTTTTGTGTGTATGCTGATTGGTCAGAGTAGCTTTTCCAGAGCAAGCATAGGGGAAAAAAAAGTCTCAACAACTTATATTGGTCATAAAGAGTGGCAAAGTGTTTTCATATTTGTTTTCAGCAGTCTAGATCAGACTGACCTGGACTGCAGCCATAAATAGAGCATTCTATAAAACTGTTTATACATAGCTTCCGGAGAGATTTTTTTTTTTTTTTTTTTTGCTGATTTCTTCATAGTGACAAAGTAAGTGGCTTCTATCTATCCAGATGAAGGCCATCCTGGAGGCCTTCTTCTATGACAACCAGAATGGACATCCCTTAGGACCATGAACACTATCTTTAACATTTAAAGCAGGAAGCGGAAGCTGATTTTTCATGGAGTATTATGTGTTTGTAGTACAATAAATGAAGCAATAAAGTCAACGGAGACAAAAGAAAACAGTCTTCAAATGGCAACCCAGTTGAAACATGACAACTGGTCAGAAGATCATTTGCAAATTATGAAGAAATGTGCAGAAGATAAATCAGGATAACCTCATAGAACTCAAGATGAATGGCAGTGATTCAGCAAGGATTTATGATCCTAACTATTCAGACAAAGTAAAACAAAACTATATTGTAGGTGAACACGTGCAAATTAAACTTCTGGAATGAAGAGAAGCTTGGAATAACTGTGAATGGATTCACAGAGCTAGGAATTTAATCCAGTTCTTATGGTCATTCAAATCTCAAAGTTCAGAATTATTTGATATAATATATGTGTGTATGTATGTATGTATGTATTTATATTATGAAGTTTTAATACAAAAATCAAGCAAGTATCAGAAGGCTTAATGTCTGCCCATGTCTGATGTAGAATACCATGTTTATGTATATTTCATACAATTACACTTTTCATTTTTATTCAGAACTGAATTGTGTGTGTGCGTGTGTATTTATTACATCTCTGAGTAAAGAATACATTTTAATGGATATTCTCCAACTTTTTTCAGGGCACGTTGAATCCCTATTGCGCATTATGGGATGACTCCAGAATGTAAGTAACAGATGTTTATTGCTCTTATTTGGGATTTATATTTCCAAATCACATCAATATCTAGGGAGAGATTAAAAGGCATGATTATGATATGCAGAAATCTGTGCTAAACATGAACTTAAGTATATAATTATGCCGATATAGTGCTGTGCCAATTTCAAGACCATGTTTTTACATTATATATTGGCACTGGAAAATAGGATATATAACCAACTCACCCACCTTTGTTCTGGCATTGATTAGTTAATAATTTATTATTGTCAAGGGTCTTTGGTATGCACGGAAATCTTTACAGAAACATATGATTCCAACATGACTCCTAGGATTAAATGCTTGTTTGTGCTATTATTGCAAGAGATCATGTTACTAGGCAACATATTCTGAATACATTGTCAAATTTTTGGGCAACAAAGGATGTATATGTGTGCGTGCGTACATACAAAGTGTGTGTATATGTTTGTGTATTATTTATTATGTTTGATGAAATGGAGCCAGTTAATCATTTCAAAGCTAATATTGTAGCAAAGATAGCTGTGTCACTGTTAAAAAAAAACCTCAAAGGAATTTATGTTGATAAGAAATTGCACTGATACGATAAAGTAAATGTATGTGTATTTAAACCATGTCATCTATTCATGGTCGCCATCAGCCATGATTAAATATAGTCAATTGGACAATGTTTTTTCTCATGAGGTCTATTTGGCTACATTTCTAAATGCATTTACTATAGAGTAGACCAAGTGAACATAGTAGGCTATACTTTTGACTAAGCATAGACTGTATTGTTATGCATACTGTTTTGAAAATATTCTCCATTAAAGCAGTTGTTTTCAGTCAGGCACATGCAAGTTTGTGCTATAAGAAGATTAACATTGGGGGATACATTTTAATTAACAGTGCTGTGAGCAAAGATTATGTGACTGTATCCCTTGAGAATTCTAGGTACCCTTAGTCTTCCTATTGCTTTATTAGAGTTGAACCATATCTATCTATCTATCTGTCTGTCTATCTATCTGTCTATCTATCTATCTATCTATCTATCTATCTATCTATCTTCCATCTGTCTGTCTATCTGTCTGTCTGTCTGTCTATCTGTCATCTATCTACTTATTTATCTACCACCTACCTATCAATTTATCTACCTGTCCACCTACCTATCTAATTTAGTGTAAATAGCCGCCCATCTCACAAGTGATTCTGCAGTGTACAAAAAAACTCCAAACCCTAAAATCATTCTTGCAAGCCTCTTTTTGGGAGATAATTTTGGTCAAAAACAACACTTAAAATGAAATAAAGAAGGATTTTTAGCTTCTTCAGGCACTTTCTGAAGTTTTTTTTTTTTTTAAAAAAGTACAATGAAACACATGTTTATTCATCACATTGTACAATGAATTATTTGTAAGCATTTTAAAGGTCTTTCTGACATATGGGACTGTACATAATTATGCTTGTATTTTAGAGACTTCTCTTTCCCCATTATCAGGTATTCAAAATATGGCTTCTCTGTACTCCAGTGACAAACCTACAAGTGTAGAAGAATCAGTGTGAAGTAGATTTTAAGAGAAAAAATGAGATTGAACAAAAATAGCATTTATGCACTGTTATTTTCCTTTGTGCAGGTAAACATTTCTGTGTCAGAAATGATTGTATCCCGCCAGTTTAATTGTACTAAAAGCTGTGAACATTGAAGAAACATTTGAATCTTTTTGCACGTTTTATAATGATTACTGTAATTGTTCCACAGCACTCATCAGTATTTAAGGCAACATCAGTGCTTCCCAAGGCATAGAATATGATTAGAGTTCACTGTATAGATCCATGATGAAGAACCTACGGCATGCGACGCACGCTGCAGGGCCAAAAACCGGTGTGTGCATGCACGCCGGCTAGTTGATTGTTTGGGTGCGCATGCGCACCAGAATCCAGAAGTTCAGCTTTTCTGGAGCGTGATCACTTCGTGCATGTGGCAATGCCGAAAACTGCCCTGTGCATGTGCGCTGGCCAGCTGATCATTAATCATGCATGCGCACTAGAACCCGGAAGTTCGGCTTTTCTGGAGCGTGATCCTTTTGCACACATGGCAGTGCCGAAAACCGGCCTATACATGTGTGCCGGTCAGCTGATCGTCAGGCACGCATGCGCCCTAGAACCTGGGAGTTTGGCTTTTCCGGAGTGTGGCCCCGACAAGAGTGCATGCACGCGATGTTTCCGTATGCCATCACTGGTATAGATCCATCCTAGTGTAACAGAAAGATTGTGTTAATCGAGGTAGGTCTCAGTTGTAAGTATGCTGTTTATGTCAGTGCCGTTGCACCTTGCTCCTTTTCATTTTTCATCCTTTGTCTGTCATATTGCAGACAATTTTTCAGTAATGCATTTTTAGGAATCCTCAAAAATGACTTAGGGCACGAAAGCACTTCAGATCTCAGGTATAGTGAAATATTTCAATGGTAGTTTTTAAATGGCTGTTCCTAAAGCTGCTTAAAGATTTCCAATAATAGAAACAACCCAATGGGAGAGGCATTAGTCATCAGAGACTACAGTATGTGGGATCCGAAAAGATGGATGCTACCATTTGTTATGCTTCTGTAATTTACAACATGACTACCACCACTGCAGGTTGCTGAAACAGTTCGTTTTCTTCTACTGCCTTGGAGTTAAGCAGATCACGTACAAGAGGTCAGAAAAGGATCCTTTTTCTTGCATCACATCTTGCTACTGCTTTTTCACTAAATTTGTGAATGTAGGGAAATAATCTTAGCAAAATTTCTTTTATATTTCATTTTTCCTCTGCAGTGATCTCATGAATGAGTATTTTATTCTATTTGATTATCTTACAGAATTTGTATTCTAAGACTGTAGGACTTAAATTATAGTAAAAGTTCCAATGTACGGGAATGGGAGGATATCTATTTTACTTTCATTTATTTATATTCTACATTGTCGGACCTGCCACAACTTAAACCTCTAAATAGAAATTATTCTTGGCTCCATTTGTTGAGAAAGGTATAGTTTATTAGAGGTCAAGTGCATTGCAGTATTGCAAAGCCAGAACTAAGAATTGTGTGCCAAACCCCTAAATTCTACTTTTCCTTCCCTTCTCTATCTCCCATTGCCCACCCCAGTGTAACCAGTCATGCTCATGCAAGATGCTTTCATAACGGTCAGTCCAAGCACAGTTTAGCATGCTGCTCCCTCCTTCTTCCAGCTGGGTGACCTTGAGGCAGTGCCTCAAGGAGATACAGCACTTACTTTCATATTCCCAAGCATCCCACCTTTCATTCCCCCTCCCCACAGTTGACAGCAATCTGTCACGGCATAGCAGTGAAGCACAAGTAAGCAAAAGGTGGCAGATGACATATTTTTGAACCACCCATCTCCCTTAGAGAAGGATTCTGGGCAGTGTACAATAAAACATTATATACATTGTATAAAAACTAAAATTTTAAATACACATACACATATTGAAATATAATGTGCAACATTGTGCTATTGATGTATTTTTCATGGATTCCATCACCTATAGATAAATTTAAATTCTATTATATACAGCATCACACTTTTCCATATATGGCAGACTGAAATCATGAACCATTCTTTAGAATTATATAAGCCTGGCTTATGTTTATGTCCTTGAAAACAAAGACATTTTGATTTGGTTATATTACAACTTGTTCTGGCCAGCTATTTGGTACAAATGCAGATAGATCTAATATATTATTAGTAAGAGTTCTTGCTTACTCATTGCTCTCTCCAAAAACTGCAGAAAGTATAAATTGTTTCTTATATAGAAGTTCCTGAATTAAACAGCTGTAACCTAAAGAGTTTGTGATATAGCTGAACAGCCATATTTACATCATATCACATTGAAAGACTGTGCATTGTTATAAATCGCACAACAATCAGAGTAAAGAATAACTGGAAGAAGATTGTCCTTATTATTTTTCTAAGACAGTGACAGCAGTAAAGTTACCATGTTTTTCTATCCTCATTACATCTCCAGGAAGACATTCAGTAAAACTTCACATCAATGGAGGAACAATCACATCTCAGTCTCAGAATACATTAGAACCACTAGAGGCTCGCAGTGACAACTTTGCAAGACATTTTGAGGATAAAGTAGTCAGAGTCCCTGTGAACTTGGCATCTTCACTGACAAAATCTGCATAATTTAAACCAGAACGGAATTAAAATAAAAAAGATCTGAAAGCATGAAGTAGGCTTGCCCTGTGGCCAGTCAGATTCTAGCTCTTAGTGAATTAGATGTTAGAACTAAACAGTATTCCCTATCTTACATTCACAATGCTGTAGTAACATGCAAAGAAACAAAAATGAACAGCAGTTTGCTGCTTATGAAGCAGTTTCTACAGCTGTTGCTGATTGCCTTTTGAGCCGTACAGTACACATACAACCATAACTTCAGTTCTTTTATAGTGGGAATCATTACCTTTTCTTCTGCCACCATGCCATCATTATGTTTCCGCTATTTTAGTTATAGTGGCCCATACACTGTCCTTGCCATCTGGGGTGGGTTCTACTTACCTTTACTACCGGTTCGCAATGGAACTGCGCGCTTTGCTCACGCGCGCACACGCTCTTCTGCGCAAGCGCAGAAGCTTTTGCGCATGCGCAGAAGCATTCTGATGACATCGGGGTCGGTGGGTGGAGCCTCCCGCCGGTTTTACTACTGGTTCTCCAGAACTGGTTACAACCTGCTGAAACCCACCTCTGGTGCGGGTTGTGTCCCTGCACTTTGTGCCTCGGACTATGGTGTTAAAAAAGAGAGAGAGATAATTTTTCAACCCATAAATAAAAAACGGAGTCACCAAGAAAAAAAAATTGACATGTGACCCGAACAGTTATGCAACAACACCAATTGGTACCTATAAGAATGGCATGCACACGGGATGTACTTTCCTGCTGTTTGGATTATAGCATTTCACTAGATCTGTCTTATTTTTTAATCCAGATTTGGAATGCACAATTTTGGGCCATCGTGT